TATCATCTGCAAAGAGTAATAATTTTGTTTCTTCATTGTCTATTCTAATTCCTTCAATTTCTCTTTCTTAACTTATTTATATATCTAACATTTATAGTATAATATTGAATAATAGTGGTGATAATGGACATCCTTGTTTCACCTCTGATCTTATAGGGAAGTCTTCTAGCTTATCCCCATTACAGATACTTGCTGATTGTTTTTGATAAATATTATTTATCATTTTAAGAAAAGCTCCATTTATTCCTAAACCTCCTAGTGTTTTTAATAGGAATAAGTATTATATCTTGTTAAAAGCTTTTCAGTATCTATTGAATAATCATGTGATTTTTGTTGGTTTTGTTACTGATATGGTTAGTTATGCTGATAGTTTTCCTAATATTGAACCAACCTTGCATTTCTGGCATAAATCCCACCCAGTCATAGTATATGATTATTTTTGTGACATATTGCTGTAATTTAAAATTTTTGCATCAATGTTCTTTAGAGAAATTGGTCTACAATTTTCTTTTTCTGTTTTGGTTCTTCCTGGTTTAAGTATCAGCACCATATTTGTGTTATAAAAGGAATTTGGTAGGACTGGGGAAGAGATTTTTATGGGGGAAAAACATTCCTAGGAGACACTTTATGTTAAGTGTCTAGTGAATGCTAGCATGTTTTAAATAATTTTAAATAAATTCCATTAACACGTAATTTCATTAAGTGCAAAACCTGTTTTATTTTGCTTTTTTGCCTTTGTATTCTTGGTGCCTAGCATTTTTTTTTTAAATCAGATCTGTGATTTTGGTTTAAGAAGCTTCAGGAACAAAGACTTACCCTGTCTAGGTAGATCTGAACCTTCTTTGTATTTTATAGTCTCATTAGAGAGTTACTTAGATCCAAGGTGTCAAATTCAAATAGTACTAAATGGGAGCTACTAAATGGTACATAAAGGTTCCTGCAGGGAGGGGGGAGAGACATATTGACTTAGAAAACTTAGAAAACATTAACATTATGTTTTATTGCATTTTTATTTATTTTGTTAGATGTTTCCCAATTACATTTTAATCTGTGTCCAACTACTCAGGAGTGTTTGTAAGCAGCTTGTGGTGGGGTTGGCTCATTGACACCTCTGGCCAGGAGCATTGAGAGGTTAAAAGACTTGCTGGGGTCACAGACTGTCCAAGGCAAGATAGAACTTGGGCCGAGGTCTATCTAACCCCAATGCCAGCTCTCCTTCCACTGTTTTATTTTCAGTCATCTGCTTCTTCTTTGGGGTTTTCTTGGCAGCAATACTGTGGTGGTTTGTCATTTCCTTTTTTATATCATTTTACAGATGGGGAAACTGAGGCAAACAGCATTAAGTGACTTGCCCAGGGTCATATAGCTAGTAAGTGTCTGAGGCCAGATTTGAACTCAGGAAGATGAGTCTTCCTGACTCCAGGCCTCTATCTCTTGTGCCACCTATCTATTGTGGCACCTAGCTGCCCTTCCACTACATCACATGACTTTTTGTCTTGGGTTTAGTAGGACCTTAATGAATGCTGGTTGAGTTGTCTCCAACCTGCCTCAGTCTGTCCTATCTATTTGTCTGTTCTTTTCCCAATCCACAACCAACACCCTAGATCCCCTGGGTAGAGTTCTGGTCATGGAGTCCTGAAGTACAAACCTTGCCTCTGGCACTTATTAGCTGTTTGAGTTCTATGTAAACCTTCAAGGATTCTATAAATATAGGTTATCAAAGCCTTCATCTCTTACCTGTGCAACAACTGCCTTGTAACTCATTGGTCCCTTTCTAGTCCAACCCATTGGGATTCATCTTCCCAACACACAACTCTACTCATAAACTCCCACTGTAGGATAAAGTTCAAACTCCTTAATGTGATATTCAAGGCCCTCTACAATCTGGTTCCAATCTGCCTTTTCAGTCAGATCTCCTATTACGCAAACAGACCTTACTCACCATCACTTATGCACACTTGGAACCTCCTTACCTCATGCCTATAGTTCATTCATGTTGTTCCCCAGGTCTGGAATGCCTTGCCTCTCCCTCAAATCATTGTTGAAATTCTGCCCACTTCCTCCAATGAGGCTTTTCTGATCCATCTCTCCAGCTCCCCACCAGCAGTGTCCTTAAATCCTAACAATGTTTTGTTCTTTTGCACTTAGATCTTGCCTTGTGTTTTAGTCATTTGTATCCATGTCTTATCTCTCCCGAGTTTGTAAGCTCTTTGAGGGCAGAGACTTTGTTTTATTCATCTTAGTATATCATTCATTGCCTAGCATGATGGTCCATGACATATTTCATAGGGCACTTAATATTTGTTGAACAAATGAATGAATGAATTTGGGGATTGGTAGATGGTTACAGTTTTTTGTAAGGGATTTTGTTATTGTAACATGGGCATGTATTAGGGAAGCCCTTATAAACTGAATAGTCAGCTGAACCCTAGAGGAAGCTAGAGGAAGGAAGTGTTATCATGGTTGGAAGACTATTCCAAGTGAGCTCAGAGGAAAGGCATGTCAGGAAAAACGTCTTTTTCCTGTAATAGCCAAGGCCAGTTGTGGCCTCCCCAGACCATTCCTCCTGATCCCTAAGCAATAGACACTTGACCCTTTGCTGGATGAGGGCAACCAGGATGGTGAAGGGATTCAAAACTATATAATGTGGAGATCAGTTGATCTGAAGAAGGAACTGGGGAAGTTTTAGCCTTGAGAGAATTCAAGGATGATCTCTGCCTTCAAATACAGAATACAGTTTCAGATGAATGTACATTCCTTGGGAACAGAGACTGATGTAGTTTTGTCTTTGTATCTCCAGTAGTGACACAATAGATAGTTTATTGAATAAGTATCTGAACATCTGTTATGTGGAAGAAGAATTTTTAAAAATTTTTGGCTTGGCCCCAGAGGGCAGAACTGTGAGAAATCAATGGATATTACAGATTTGGTTTAAATATAACAACAAACTTTCTAATAGACATCCAGTGAGGGAACAGGTTGCCTTTGAGGTAGTGAGTTTCCCATTAACTATAAATTTCCAAGCAGATGCTGAATGGCCGCCTACTGGGAATACTGTAGAAAATGTGCCTGCATTGGATAGGAAGCTAGACAAAATGTACCTTTAAGGTTCCTTCTAGCTTGAAGATTCCTTGGTTCAGTTCTGCAACAGCAACTCAGGGTAGACAGGATCTGAGAGTGGTAGAGGTCTCTTAGGGCATCTTGTCTTACTCCCTCATTTTTCAGATGGGAATGCTGAGGCCTAGAGAGGTTGAGTAATTTGACTAAAATCACATAGTAATACATGGCAGAAGTGGGTCTTGAACTCTTTCCACAACACCATTCTATTTCTTTCCTGTATATTTTGCCAGGCAGCCTCATTGCCAAATATAACCTTCTCTGATTGGGGCTTGGCAGTTAAGAGGGGAAAAAGGAAGGGAAGTTAAGGATGGTTCATAATATCATGGGATCAGAGATCCAGAGCTGAGAGACTTCAGATGCCATCTAGACCAACCTCTTCATTTTACAGATGGGGAAACTGAGGCAAACAGCGGTTAAGTGACTTACCCAGGGTCAAACAGCTAGTAAGTACCAGAGGCAGGATGTGAACCTAGGTCTTTCAGACTGCAAGTCTGGCACTTAGCAAAAGAGAGATGAGTTTATTTTTTGAAATAATTTTAAATTAAAATTATTTTTAAAAATTATTAAAAATCAATTTGAATTCAGATCCTCTGACTTTGGAAATGCTATGTTAATATTTTACTGATTTACTTTTAGAAAATAATTCATTATAAATTTGTTACTAAATTTTCATACAACCAATTAAACTTTCTTTACAACTGTTTCCTTTAAAAAATAAACAAAAAGAAAGCAAAAAAAAATTGTTTCACTTCATAAACTAAGTCCAGTGTTTTGGTTTCTAAACCTCTTCCTTTGTTTCAGAATTGATGGTTATCTGGTAATGAAAGCATAGATGACACTTCAGTCGGGAAGAATTATAAAATATGAAGCTACAGCTCAATGTCACAGAATCAGAAAATTGTGTAATCCATACAGAAAAGAAATCCTCTCCATCCCATACCTAACAAGTGATCACCCAGCCTCTCCTTGAATACATCAAAGGATAGGAAACCCACCCCCTCTCCAGGCAGCTCCAACCACTTCTGAACAGTCTCATTGTTAGGAAGTTCCTATTGGCATCAAGCCTCAGTTTTCCTCTTTGCACCCCCTTGCTCCTGGTCTTCTCGTTGAGCTAACCAGCGCAAGTCTAATCCCTTCTCCCCATGACAACCCTTGGAGACAGCTGTCATGTCTTCTTTAGGCTAATCACACCCAGATCCTTCAACTGATCATTCTGGGTTGTGAACTCAAGCCTTTCAGCATCCTGGTTTATCCTCAGTGTACTTTCTAGCTTATCAATGTCCTTCTTACACCACTGTCCCCATAACAGAACACAGTACTGCAGATGGGGGTTGAAGAGGGCAGAGTTTACTGGAACTGGGACCACTCTATTCCTGGAAACTGCCCCTCTTAACGCAGCCCAAGATCCCATGAAGGTTTTTGGCTACCAGAGTGTACTGCTAACTTTGACTTCTGTTGAGCTGGTGGTGGTTGTTCAGTTGCTCTTCAGTTGTTTCCGACTCTTTGTGACCCCATTTGGGGTTTTCTTGGCAAAAATAGCAGGGCAGTTTGCTGTTTCTTTCTCCAGCTCATTTTATAAATGAGGAAACTGAGGGAAATAGGGTTAGGTGACTTGCCCGGGGTCACACAGCTAGTAAGTGTCTGAGGTCAGATTTGAACTCAGGAAGATGAGTCTTCCTGACTCCAGTCCTGATACTCTATCAACTGTGCCACCAACTGCCCTTCTCTTGAGCTTGTAGCCCAATAAAACCCTTTCTCAGATCTTTCTCAGAACAACCGATATCTACCCATGCCTCCCCCATCTTATATTCGTGAAGTTGATATTTTTGTACCCAAGCATGAGACTTTACATTTAGCCCTGTTGAATTTCATTGTATCAGGTTTGGGCCGGTACTCTATTGTAGCCTCTCAGGATCCTGTTTGATGCTGATTCTGTCATCCACTGTGGTAGTCATCCTTCCCAGCCTTGTTTCATCTTCAGATCTGGTAAGCATACCATCCTGTCCTTCTGTCCAAGTCACTGACAAAAATGTTAAACCTCCCGGGGCTAAGCACAGATCTCTGGGTCCTGCACTAGAGATCTCCTGGGTAGAGACAGGCAGGTAGTGTAGTGCATGGAGCTCTGGGCCTGAAGTCAGGAAGTCCTGAGTTCAAATATGACCTCAGACATTCTCTACCTGTGTGTTCCTGGCAAGTCACTTAATCTCTGTGCCTCTTAGTTTCCCCAACTGTAAAATGGGGATCATAATAGCACCTTCCTCTCAGTGTTGTGGTGAGGATCAAATAAGATGATATTTGTAAAGTGCTTCACACAGTGCTTGGCACATAGTGGGAGCTATATAAATTCTAGTGATGATATTGACATGACCCACTACCGCCATCTAACTAGTCCTGAATCCTTCTGATTGTATTATCACCTAATCCACATCCTTGTTTTCTCTATAAGAATCACGTGAGATACTTTATCAAAAACATTTGTTAAAGTCTAGGTAAATTACATCCAAAGCATTCCCTTCATCAACTAGTTTAGTAATCCTATGAAGAAAGGAAATGAAGTACAGTTATCTCTTCCACGTCATGATTTTCTCCATTGCGGTTTTAATATATTGTGGGTCGGCATAAGAAATTAAATGGGAATTTGGGGGGAGTTTTGCAGAAGCCACAGATGACACATGAAGGCCAGATGGCACAGAAAAAGTTTAGAAACTCAGAAATGCATAAAATATACGTATGGTATTATATACTATTAACCCAAATTTTACAATAAGGTACTGTAAACACCCCATAATAAAAGAAAAAGAAAAAAATTCAGACTTCTTCTCTGGTACAAAGGGAGGGCCAAAAAAATTTATTTGGATTTTCCACATCCCAGGGGTGCCCTAAACTCCATGATGTGGAAGGGATAATCGTATTCTGGTACAACCTGTTCTTGATGAAGCCATACTGCCTCTCTGTAATCACTGCTTCTCTTTTTTAGGGATTCACTTCAACTGGCTCTTTAAAGACATGTTCTAGAATTTTCCTAGTAGTCCAAATCAAACTGATTGGTTTATAGTTAGTTTAGAGATTCTTTTTTCCCGTTTTTTTTTTTTAAATCAAGACACTTGCCCTTCTTCCTGTTCTTTCATCACCAGAGGATGTGGTTCATCTGGGTCAGGAGACTTAATTCATCCTGGGCTGAAGGTGTGCTGTTCCTATCTCTCTCAACTTACTTATCTTGAATGTCAACTCCCTGTTAGTCGTTTTTATCTTGTCACTTCTAGTATAGAGGTCATTCTCCTTTGCAGAGAAAATAGAAATAAAATAAGGATCGGGCAGTTCTGCCTTCTCTCAGCTATCATTATTCCATCTGCCCCAAGCAAAGGTCTATCCATTCTCTGATTCTCACTCCCCCTCCCCTTTTTTTTCCAAAACTAGGGGAAAAAAAAAACTCTTTTGGTTGGCCTTCCCTTGATAGCTTAAGCTCATTCTGAGCTTCAACTTTTCTCAGAATTTTACAGAACCCTACTAATATTCATCTTCTGTTACCTAACCTTGCTTCCATATATATAGATATTCACACATTCACATATATTATACACACACACACACACACACACACATCACCTATACAGGCTCTGACCTCAGTCTCCCAACTTATACTGACTAACATGTTGGGTCCTTCAGAGAGCACCTGGCTACATTTCCCCCCACTGCTTTAGAGTTCCAGTGATAGATAACTCAAGGGATTGTGAGGCTCTTTTAATGCTCTGTAGTTCATAAGTCCTCATCCAGTGTGTGTCTCCCCACCACCACCACTATTGGTCAACCAGTTACCACCTTGTCAATATCATCTAAACACTGATTAGTACCCCAATATCATTTTTTATACTTTTTTTTTGCTTTTTGGTGAGGCAATCAGGGTTAAGTGACTTGCCCAGGGTCACACAGCTAGTAAGAGTCAAGTGTCTGTGGACAGATTTGAACTCAGGTCCTCTTGACTCCAACGCCTGAGCGCTATCCACTGTGTCACCTAGCTACCCCACCCCCAATATAATTTTGACCAGGTCGTAGCTCCTCAACATCATTGATAGTCAATTAACATGAATTTGCTTTTACACAGGGATATTTACTGAAAAGCTACAGTAAGTACCAAAGTACAGAAATAGATCTTGAACTGGAGTCCATTCTCTTCTCTCTATCTTAGTCACTGGGGAGAATGGGCTCACACTGAAAGAGACTGCTACATCACCTTACTCCCACCAAGTTCACTTCTGGGCTCATTACAGCTGATGGAAAAGTTACTCTCTTGCTTGCAGGGCCCCAGTGTCTTGGTGATCAGAACAATTTGCTACTAGGTCAAGCAGGTCACTCCTCAGGGCTGATTTCTTAATGAGCTTGGCTGTGGTAAGCTTCTAAGGTAATAACCTAGTCTGTTCCATCTCCTCTACACATTCTGGCAAAGAATGAAACACAACAAAGACAGAAAAACAGCAGCACCATGGAGGGCCCAAGGCCCTTCTACCCAAAGACCCACAATAGTTCATCTTCCTCCTCATTCAAAAACCATCAAGAAAAGAGAGAAATCAAACTCCTCTGTTAAAACTGTTTGTAGGTACCCTCAGTTCTGGCTCAGAAGCCAAATAAAAGGCTTTTCATCATATTCAGTAAGCCAAAAGAACCAGTGTTAGAATAGCTGCATGTGCTCTAAAGGGAAGAACAGGACCTTTCCGTTATATGTTTGCTGAAGCAGGCTCACTGATCCCACAATTGGGTAGTCAGCAGACAGAATATATGTTGTACATTTTTTTAAAGAACTGGGCCCCTGTTGGTCAGTCCCCCATTAAATGTACATTTCTTTAAAAAATCTAAATTAGCTGATGAATTTCCTGTGCATATACATCAGTCTCTTCAGACAAATCTCATTTTTCTTCCTCAATGGAATCGTTTTCTTTTGTACTTTCAGAATTTCATTTTTGAGCACCTCTTACCCCTCCTAGGCTGATTTTGCTTGAAGCATTTTAGTCTGGGATGCTACCTATCTTTGCTATGAATCCTCTGAAACTTGCTTTCCCCAAATCTTGAGTGCATGTCAGACCATGCCCAAATTTCCTCTATCACAAACTTTAAGATGGAATGCATTTCTCCCTAACATTCCCATCGTATTCATCCTGGCAACCACTTCCTTCCTGTTAGTGAGACTCAGATCTAGAATAACATGTCAAGAAGTTATTTGTTGCTGTGTTTTCGGGGGAGAAGGGGAAAGAGAGAGAGATTCAAAAGATATCTGGATTAAATTACTGCTATTTTGCTAATAATAATAGCACATATTTATATTATAATATTTTCTTAGAGAAAGTCAGTGCTGAAATTCATAAATTTCATAAAAGATAGATCCAGTTGTAAATGCTATAGAAGGGTTTCCTGTACTGACTGGGTGTAAGACTGGGTCTACTTGGCCTGGCTCTGATAGTCTATATGGTCAGGTCTTTTTCAGTGTTAGTATTCCATCTTATAATTCTGTTCTAGTTCTGACATTCTACATTCTAAGATCTCTCACACTGCTAATGCTCTGTGTTCTGTTGTCAGTTCTCTTTAGTTTGATTCAATGGACATTCATTAGGTGCTTACTATGTATAAGGCCCTATTCAGATGCTTAGAGATACTTTAATGATCTATGAGCTCCTTGGGAATGTGAATGCTCCTTCCACGGATGCTGACTGCAGCCCATCTATACTTGATTATCCTGTATGATTTTTGTCTATGTCTATAAATCCTGGGAAGTGAAGGTAGGGGTGCCTGGAGGGAAGTCCATCCATCCAACATGCTTTCCTCTATATTTCTTGATATGACATGTGGATCAGTGGATTTTGTGCAGTCCATTTGTTAGCCTTTGCTCTCATTCCCCAACCAACCTACCTCCTTTTCTTGTTGTAACTCTTGCATAATTCTTTATTGGTAATAAGCCATGGCCTGTTCACGCCCACCACATATCCTTCCACTGTCCTTTGAGTCACCTGAAACTTTCATTCTTTGGAGACTGTGATATTTCATGACTCATATCCAGATGGCACTACCTGAAGCATACTGATATTCAAAAGATGGGCACCAGCAGAGAAGGAATCATAGGCAAGCAGGACAGCTTTGAAAGTTACATGTCAAACTTACTTAAAAAGAAAAGCGGCTACATGCTAGCTTTGTAATTTCATTTCATCACTCATTTTATGTTTAAGTTCAGAATTTTAAAAATTACAGGAAAATAAAAAGGGGTCTGGGAGTCATTGTTTCAGGAAGAAACTTGGGATCATAAAGAGCCCTGAACCATTTCCCAAATACAATCTAAATGTTTGATATGGATAATCAGATCTTGTTTACATCTTCCAAAGAATTTTGTACAATTTCAAAATATGCACAGGAGACACCTTGCTTTAAAGACAGGATTTTCCTGTACTAGATTTAGTGCTTTATCATGAACAAACAGTGAACATAGTGGGATCTTATGTTCTCTGCACAGTTCAATCATTTGTATGACTGCAAAAATGTTTTCTACAAAATATTGTTTGTGAATGCCTGCCCATTCCTCTCTTCAACAATGCACTTAGTACATGTATAGATTTTTCTTTTATAGGTTTTATAGGCCTGGAAAATTGGGCATATATTTTTATCACCTTAAAATTTTTTTTTTCTAGCTGTGTGACTCTGGGCAAGTCACTTAACCCCAATTGCCTTAAAAAAAATTAATTGTTTTTAATTTTCAGCATTCACTTCTATAAGATTTTGAGTTCTAAATCTTCTTCCCCTCCTCAAGACGGTGTGCAATCTGATAGACTACACATGTACAGTCCTATTAAACACATTTCCACATTAGTCATGTTGTAAAGAAGAATTAGAACCAAAAGGAAAAACCAAGAAAAAGAAGAAACAAAAACAAAAAGAGAGAGAAAGAGACAAGATAGTATGCTTTGCTCTGCATCCAGACTCCGTAGTTCTTTCTCTGGATATAGATAGCGTTTTCCATCATGAAGTCTTTTGGAATTGTCTTGGATCATTGTATTCCTGAGAGGAGTTAAGTGTATCAAAGTCGGTCATTGCACAATGTTGCTGTTACCGTACCACCTTTTTTCAATAATGAAGTCAATGGGTTTTTTTGTTTTAAGAGTTTGATGTCTTCCCCCCTTTCAGATATCTTGGGCATCAATCCCTTTGTGTATTATCAGAATTGGCGCCTTCAGCACAAGTATCCTTTATGTATCCTTGTTTTTCCCACCTTTTTCTTTAATGCCATTTTGTACTCTGTTGTTTAGTACCTTGGAGATTATGGTGTTAAGGAGAGGATTCTACTCCTATTGGTGGAGAAAAGACTTTTTTACAAAACAAAGAACATCTGGTTTTTTTTTTTTGGTCTCTTGGTGTCTTCCAGTTTCATCACTGAATGCTCTACAGATGTTTTGGCTTAATCGGGCCCCTTGCCAAAATTTTATATAACCCTATTTTTCTTTCACTGCTTTTCCATTTTGTGAGATAATAGAGATGCTGCTGCTTGTATTTCCTATTATCCTTCCCCATAAGATTTTACAAATAAGTTTATATTTTAAACTGATGTTGCTTTGGACTGCTATATCTCTTCCCCTTAGCAAGAAGATCTAACATTGGCTAACTGAGGAGGTTTCTAGACTCTTTTGTTCTCCTGATTCAGTCAACCAGCATTTATTAAGTGCTTATTGTGTGCCAGGGGCTCAAATAGTGTTACAAAAAAATGAAGCAATCATACTATGAAGTCAATAAATCAATAAGCATTAATTTTTTTAATTTAAAAACTTTTTGGTTTTAATTAGCCAAAATCTGCCTTCTTCCCCTCCCAGCCTATACCTCTGCCCCCCAACTGAGAACAGGAGAAAAACAAAGCCTGTTATACGTTATTGTTGTTGTTCAGTCGTTTAGTTCTGTTTGACTCTTTATTACCCCATGTACCATAGCATGCCAGGCCCTTTCATCTTCCATTATTTCTTGAAGTCTGTCCAAATTCATGTTTGTTGTTTCTGTGATACTATGTATCTGTCCCCGTTTCCTTTTGCCTTCAGTTTTTCTCCCCAAATCAGGATCTTTTCCAAAGTTTCATCTTCTAATTATGTGGTCAAATTATTTAAGCTCAGTTTCGGTATTTGACCTTCCATTGAATAGCCTGAATTATTTTTTTAAGTATTGACTGATTTGAACTCCTTGCTGTCCAAGGGACTGTCAAAAATCTTCTGCAGCACCACAGTTCTAAAGCATTGATTGTTCAGTGCTTAGCTTGTCTTATATTCCAACTCCCACAGCCATACAGTGCTACTGGAAAAATCAAAGATCTACATGGATCTTTGTCAGTAAGGTGATGTCTCTGCTTTTTAGTATGCTGTCCAGATTTGCCCTAGCTTTCCTTCCAAGGAGAAAATGTCTTTTAATGTCATGGCTGCAGTCACCATCTACAGTGATCTTTAAGCTCAAAAATATAAAATCTGACATTGCTTGCATGTCTTCTCCTTCAGTTTGCCAGGAAGTGATCTTAGTTTTCTGTTGTTTTTTTTTTCTGTTGTTTTTGTTTGTTTGTTATAGACAATCAAAATAAATTCTTCATTGGCTATATCCAGAAAGAATTTGTCTCATTCTACATTGAGCCCTTCACCTCTCCATCAGGAGGTAAGTAGCATGTTTTATCATTAGGCCTCTTTAATTGTGTTTGGCCATTATACTGATAAGAGTTCAGTACAATAATATTCCATCACATTCATGCATCATAACTTGTTCACCCATTCTCCTGTTTATGGACACTCCCTCAAATTTCCATTCTCTGTCACCTTAAAAAGAGCTATAAATATTTTTTTACATCCTTAGAGTTTGTTTTGGTTAGGACCAATCTTTTCCCTAATCTACCCTCCCTCTGATTCCTTCTTCCCATTCATTCACCTCTTTCCCTCCTTTTTCCCTGTTGAGTGAAATGTGTATCTTTATCCATCTGTGAGTTTATATGTATTCTTCCCTTTTTTCAGATCAGATAAGAATGTGGTTCAACTGTCAGCCACTCCTTCCCATTCCTTCTTCTTTGTTTGTATAAGATTCTACCTTGATTATGTGAGATGATTTTCTCCAACCTTCTTTTCCCCTCCTCTTTGCCCCCCCCATGTATTCATCTACTCATCTCTTTACATTCTTTTCTTAACATCATCAAGACATAACAGAATCATTTGCAGGCCTTCTCTAATTGGACTCCCTTTATGAACCCTGATGATCATAAGGATCAGAGGGGACACATGTATCATTTCCCCTTATTTGAATGTAAGCAATTAATCCTCATTTAGTCCTCTATCATTATTCATTCATGTTTACCTCTCCCATTTCTTTTCATTCCTATGTTTGAACTTCAAAGTTTTTCCGTAGCTCTGGTCTTTTCACTGAGAACACATAGAAGTTGTCTGTTTCATAAAAGATTAATTTTTTCCCTTTAGCATTATTCTCAGTTTTTCTGGGAAAGTTATGCTTGGTTATAAGCCCATCTCCTTTGCATTCTGGAATATTGTATTCCAAGTTCTCCATTCCTTTATCGTGATGGCTGCTAAATCATGTGTGATTCTGACTGGTTCTTCGATACTAAATTCTTTCTTTCTGGATGATTACAGCATTTTTTTTTCTGTGACCTGGAATCTCTGGATTTGAGCTAAGTTATTCCTGGGAGTTCTCATTTTGGGGTTTCTTTCAGGAGGTAATGGTAAATTTTTTTCTATTTCCACTTTGCTGTCTGGTTCTAAGAAATCTGAGCGATTTTATTTTAAGATTTCTTGAAATAGGATGTCTAGCTATTTTAGGTAATGGTGTTCGGATAGTCCAGTGATTCTTACATTTCTTCTAATTGATCAGTTTTCTAGAGCAGCTGTTTTTTGTTATGAGAGACCTTACATTTTCTTCTATTTTTTTCCAATCTTGTGACATTGTTAAATATTTCTTGTTGTTTCGTGGAGTCATTGGCTTCTCTTTGGTTCAGCAAATGTGCAGGAGTTTGTTGCTTGGGCAAGGTTTTGTATTTCTTCTGCCAAACTGTTATTTAACATACCATCAATGTGAATGGCTATGTTTATATAAATGGAAGCACACTTGCCAGCAGTAGTGGGGAGGAGAGAGATGTATGATCCTTCCATGATTTAGTTATCCCTAGTACCCCGAGAGAGTTGAAAAGTAACCACATTGTGATGGTTCTTCTCTGGGACACTCAGGCCTGCCAGCATAAGGGCAGGTAGGGAGGGGTTCATCCCAGGGGCCACCCCATACAGGGGTTACACACTGTGATTCATCAGGGTCTTACCATCCTGTTTGGAGGGGGCCATCTCCAGCTATCCTGATCTACATCTGGTCACTGGGTCCATATGGCTCTGGAGGAGAAAGTGAGGCTGGTGACTTTGCATAGCCCTCCCTCACTTAAATTCAATCCACTTGCAAGTCAAGGCATCACCTTCCTGATGTCATTGTCTTCTTCAAGAATGAAAGACAGGGGCAGCTAGGTGGTGCAATGGATAGAACTCTGGCCTTGGAGTCAGGAGAACCTGAGTTCAAATCTGGCCTTAGACACTTAACACTTACTAGCTGTGTGACCCTGGGCAAGTCACTTAACCCCTATTGCCTCACCAAAAAGCAAAAAAAAGAAAAAAAAGAATGAAGGACAAACAACAACAATTTTCTCCAGTTCTTTCTTTTATAACTGTTATATCTTTTCTAATTTTTTTTCTTAAGTATTCTCATTCCATTAACAAAAACATTTTTAACTCTTTTTTTTTTTAATTCTTGCTTTATCTCCTCCAGGAATTCTAACAGATTTTTTTTTTCTTAATCAAGGCTTTGCTTGTAGATGTTTTGGAATCATTCACCTCTTCTGTGTTTGTGTATTAAGCTTCCCTCACACCATAGAAACTCTTTACAGTGGGATTCTTTTTTGTTTGCTCATTTTTCCAGCCTATTTCTTGACTTCAGACTGTGTTAGGGTTGGTCTCTGCCACCCCTCTGGTAGGAAGGTCTGGGCTGGTGCTGTTGCTGCTTTCTTGGGGCATTTAATGCTCTTCCAGGGTCTCAGGGACAGGCTGGGGACTTTCAGTGCTCCCAAAATGATCTGATCCAAACCAAAATGTGATTGCCACTCTGCCTCCTCCCACACACATGCCTTCCCCTACCCCATGTCTGAGCTCTGCAAATTCCTGACCTGGGTTTAGGTCTAAGCAAGAATAAATGCTGCTAGATTCAGCCCCTGTCAGCCAGCTAGAAAACCCTGTTGGATCAGAGTGGCAAAATTGTAGGCTTCTCCTGGTCTGGAATTCTGGCCTTGGTTATTCCTTTGCAGGCTGGGCTAGATGTTAGAAGGAAGACCCTGGTCTGAGTCATACCACTGCTGCAGACTTCTAAACTTCCCTTATCTATACACAGCCCAGAGCCTCCCTACCAGGGAAGGACACTTGGTTAAGCAGAGCCCCTTTTTCAGTAGCCCTGTGTCTATGACTCAGAACTGGGTCATGGACATTAAAGCTTCCAGTTCGTACCTGTCCCCATCAATGTACCCCAGTATGGGTCTGGGGGTGCACCCTCTGGTCCTGGGCTCTCTGCATGCCCTTGTGCATACCTCTCCCTGAGTGCTGGAGTGTCCTTCACATGGCCAGACCTGGTTCTCTGTGTCCTTGGACCTCTCTGTCTCCCTGTTCTGAGCTGGGCTGGACAAATGACTCACTCTGACTTTTTCCTGGATTTTCCCTTCTGGATTCAGTCTGGTGCATTTTCTAGACATGTCTGGAGGAGTTTTTGGAGGGAAGCTCACTAGTCTGCTTCCAGCCACACCCCCATCTTCAACAGCATCAATTAAGCAGTCACCATGTGCCCAGAACTGTGCTAAATTCTGGGGATAATACAAAGAAAGGCAAAACAATTTTGTCTTCAAGAACCTTACATTCTAATGAGGCAGATAACATATAAATAACTAGGTGCCTGCAAGATATATGCAGAGTAACTGGAAAGTAATCTCAGAGAGGAAGACTAGCAGTTGAGAGGATTGGGAAAAGCCTCCTATAGGAGAGGAACTTGAGCTGAGTTTTGGAGGAAAACAAGAACACTGAGATTTAGAAGTGAGGAGGAAGAACGTTCCAGGCATGGACAGCCAGTGTAAAGAACCAAACTGGGAAACAGAGTGTTGTGCATGAGGAGCAGCAAATAGGCCTGCATGGCCAAACAGAAGACTGTATTTGATGCTGAAGAGCATCACAAAGGCTCACTGAACAGTGGGATGATATGATCCGATGTTACCATTTAGAAGAATCACCTTCACAGGAAGAGAGGATGGATTGAAGACGGAAGAGATATGAGGGAAGGAGACCAAATTAGAAGCTGCTTCAATAGTCCAGGCAAAAGGTGATGAAGGCCTGAATTAGGGTAATGGCTATGGGATTGGAGAGAAGGGACACAGAGCAATGATTCTGTGAAAGTAGAAACTCACAAGATTTGAATATCCGGGGTGAGTATGAATAATAAGTCCAGGATACCACAGAGATTATGAGCCTAGTGATAGGCTGGGCTGGAGGGCAGTGCAATTCCTTGGACTTTTGGTCTTTGTCTTTTCCTGTCAGCGTTCAAAGTGAAGTGGGAGTGGCGTTGTCAGTGACTTGACCCAGTTACATATATAAGTAATGTGCAGAATAAATACAGGATAGTTGGGAGAGGGAGCACTAGCATTTGGGAAGATCAGGAAGGACTTTGTACAGAAGGTAATACTTAAGCTGGATCTTTTTTTTTTTTAAGCAGGATCTTGAAGAAGGAGAAAGATTCTGTAAGTACAGTAGGGAGTTTTTAACTTCCTAAGAGTTGCGTGTTTCAGACATGGGAATGCCCAGTGCAAAGGCAAACAAAGATGGGAGATGGAATGATGTGTGAGGAAGAAAGAGAAGGTCCGCTTGGCTAGATCATAAAGTGTGGGAAGGGAAGTAATATATATTGAGCCTAGAAAGATATGTTGGGGCCATATTTGTGAAGGACTTCAACAGGTAAATAGAGGAATCTATATTTTGTGCTCAGGACAATAAGGAGACATGGCAGGGGGTGGGGCGGGGTTGAGCAAGAGAAATGACAAGGTCAGAGCTAAACTTAAGAAAAATTACTTTGATAGCTGGGGTCAAGTCAGTGGGCATTTATTAACTACCCACTATGTTTCAGGCATAAAGAAAGGTAAAGACAACCCCTGCTTTCTGGGCAGAGGAAGGATTGAAGAGAGGAGAGATTGAGGGGAGGGGGAGACCAATTAGGAGGCCATTTTAGGAGGTAACAGGGTAGGCAAGAGGTAGTGAGGATCTGAACTAAGATACTGGCTGGGTCAATAAAGAGAAGTGGTTGTGATGAGATGTTGTGGAGGTAGGAACAAGATTTGGCAACTGATTGGCTATAAGGAGTGAGGAATGAGATTATGAATCTGGTACATTGGAAGAATTGTGGTGCTTTTACAAAAATAAGGAAGTTTGGAAGAGGGGTAGGTTTTAGGGGAAAGATAATGAGTTCTCTTTTGGACATGCCAAGTTCAGATGTCTCTGGGATATCCAATTTGAAACATTCAATAGGCAGTGGGTGATGTGAAACTGAAGTATAGGAGTAACTAGGACTAGATACCTCCTTTGCAATAGGTG